GGTTTAGGCGTCAAGCTATAATATTATGATAATGACTTGATCATAAAAATCTGTTTTTGTAACATCAACGCCTCGTTAAGTAAAAATTATACACGTCGAACGTCAGTGGGGTCGATGAAACGGAAAATTAATTTTGCGCTCCGTCGAACTACGATGATTGGCGATTAAATGGGTATAATGTAGAAAAAATATTCGTTATTATCTACTGTATAGGTACATATAGGTACATAGTAATATTAAGTAGGTACATAATAAAAACGGTATAACTCCATTATAATAATAATAATAATAATAATAATAATAATAATAATATTATGTTTATAACACTGATGTCTGATACTAATAATAAATAAATGTCATGTTTACATTGTGATAGTTATGTTATTCGTTGTTATTGACGGTTTTTCATATTATTTTAATCATAATTTTTTTATTACTATCAACGATACGACGTCGTTAGATAGATACCTATTAAATATTATAAATTAAAATTATTCCTTGTTTTTAAATATTTACCGTAGGTACCAACAGTCAATGTTTAATTTATGTCAAAACGTATTTATTAAGCCGCCCATAATAATATATTAATGCCAAAAATAAATGACGTGCACATCCCCCCTCTACCTATAGAATCGTGTCATAAATATTTCAGAACATAATCGATACAGTTTGACATATTTCTCGTAGTGGTATAATATTTACAATGCTAAAATTTATGGATTCCTTTTGGATACACATTGAAAGTAACAACCTTTACTTCTAAATAATTGTTAAATATTTTCTGTGAAAAACTGCATAATAATGTTATGTTCAAATTTATTAACACATTATTCTAACGATGTAATATTGAAATAGTTTTTCGACGTTGTTTTCAATAATAATATTAAATATTACTCCAAAACGAGGTACCAACAAAGTTTGTGGTAGATTGCAAAAACCGTTTATAAAACTTAAACCATCGTAATATTTGACACATCTCAATGTAAATTTAGATGCCATGCATTGAGTTGTAATATATGTATACAGTTCTTTCCATAGCGAAACGGTACATAGAAATGCATAGTATTATAATATATTCAGCAACAGTTGTCGCATTTCCCGGACAACACAATATTATTATTTAACATAATAACATATTGTGAACTTTTAGTTTACCGTTTAACCGAATTTATAGTATTTAAGATGAGATAATAATAATAATATAATATATCATATACGTTCAACAACGCTCAGTGCACATGGTGTGAGTTGAGTTTGCTTGTTGCTATGTTTAAATATTATAATTTATTTAGAAACCCGTGTAAAATATGTTACACAGATGAACGTTCAAGTTTTAATTTTTTTCTTCACAGTTTCACACATATATTTTAAAGATGACCCCAAATATAGAATGTAATAGCATAATACTTTTTGCAAAATAACATAAGTTATTTGATTTTTTTATTATTCATGAATTACATTATTTATAAACAACTGATTTACAATAAGCACAAGTGAAACTTAAAGGTAAATATAGAATAAGACAAAATAAAATTTAATTATTTAAATGATCTAAATTAAAAAAGATAGGGGACTTGTTTGCAGAAGGCATTCATCGATGGACCTTTATGATGTTAAGAATTTTAAGTTAGACAATAAATTTGTTACGTCACCAGGTTCGGATGAACAGACAATTTGATGTAATATTATTAGTTGACAGTTTTGGTTTTTATGAGACTCGAGAGATTAGTGATGACGAGGGCTTTAAGTGGATTTAAATTCATCGAGAAATCATTAACAATTGATTTTCCACTTTTGTATGTTGATGGCGGATTTGGTTTAGTATGATAGGTGACTCATACTTCATAGTTACATTTACATACAAATTGGAAGTTGTCAGTGGCTGAGTGTTGATAGCGATTGGGGGTGGAGTTGGATAACAGTGGTTGTCTACATTTTTAATTTGAAATATTGTTGTGTTTATGACTCAGTTTTTTGTATTTGTATATTGTACAGAATGATCAACAGGATGTGCTCCTTCAGAAGGAGCATATTTTTTATGGAAATCCGTCAGTTTTGTGTAGGAGGTGTATGATTAATTCCCCCCCCCACATTTCACATATATGAGAAGATATGCAAAATAAGTCCGGATATGGCCATAAGTTTGGGAATTTCGATACTATGGTAATTGTCACTTTTTTAGGGTTTTCCTAACAATTAAGAGCAGAAGTGAGATTTTTGTGTGTTGGTGCTGTAATTGGTAACATTTCTCACACCTTGACATATTTCTTCGATTCTGATGCAATCTGTCTGTAGAACAAAATATAAATGGAGGTTTCTATTAACAACCCTCATAGATGCTTATCAAATTGTAGTTGACTAGTAGAATACTGTGCTTCGATATCAATAGGAATAATCCAAATAAAGATAATAATTGTTCTGTAGTCGTTAGGGGTGTCTATTTAAATATTTAGATAAGTAGTAGATGATTCAGAAATGAAACTGTTAAGGTATTTAAACCTTTAAAGTGTTTTATAGCCATATGTAGCAAAGGACATCTTAAATAAACACATGTAAATTTTTTAGTGTATTGTTTGGTGGTGATAGGTTACTCCTGAGTTTTAGTTTCTAATGAGCCTATGATTATTATCGACTAAAATATGGTATTCTGTGGTAAGATCAGCTGTTGACCAGTTCAGATATGCTCGATAAATAACTTTAATGTTGTCCCTTAGTCAGTGTTTACGATAGGTGGTGATTGCGATTGAGAAAATTACGAATTCATGGGCTGTTCCATTCCATTATTACAATTATTATTATTATTTTTTTTGTGGTGATGATGTTATTATTTATAGTTTATTGTAGCTGGGGATAAGCTCTACGTTGGCGTAGTTAATGTATGCAATTATCACCGATCCATAAGTCACTAGGCTTGACCGTGCTTGTGGTATATTATACGTTTATGAGAGTATACATAATACATATGTGGATCGAAGAATTATGTGATAATAAAAGTTAAATACATAATAATTAATCTATTTGGTTGAGAATTTTTCGAAGATTGTGTAAGTCGACCTTTGGCAGTGAGAACTATATAAATCTTCGATTTGTAGTTTGAACATAATAATGCATTGTGTTTGCTTCCCAGCTAAATTAATATTTTCAAAAACACAAGGTGGTTTAATATTTAATGTTTTGAAACATTAAAACTATAATATTCACATTTGTTTAACTCTCAAAATCTATTGCCTTTTTTTATAGCATAAAAAATTAAATTACATATTTATATCAAAATCCAAGAAAAATATGTTTAGTATGACGTTAGGTATACCGTATTGAATTTCATATACAACACTCTAAAATATAATATCCTATAAAATATACCATTAGCACATTGTCTTTATGACATTCGTATTGATGTACAGCTAATAACGTCAAAAAATAATGACATAAATAAAATCAATAGATTTTATCAAAATAAAAATCGTTGTAGAATAACTAGGTACTGAAGGGCTTAGACATTCCATGGTTCTAAATTTCCATTATTGTGGTCATGTCGGCTTTTGTATCTTGCGCTCTGTGTTGTGCACTACAATTTACATTCATAACATTTTCGTAATAACAGTGTAAATACCTAAAATAGTAGATAGGCTGAAAATCTAAACATTTAATATTTGTGTATACATTTATAACATAACAGAACATTATCCTACTATTTTATTCCAAAAACTACCACATAGAAAATGTATCTCAAATTAACCTGTAATATTTATTTTAGTTGAAATTAAAATTAGTTTTATAGTGTTAACATAAATATATTATACAAAATTAATTTCCATTTTTTCCACTATTTTAACCAACAGAAAAGTCATAATATTATTAGGAGACATAATGCATAATAACACATAACGAAAATAACGTAATTTGAAAACAATACTAATTATTATCATAATATCTAAATATAAAAAGAATCTACAGATTATAAATTAGGACTTTCAGGAGAATAATTATATTGATAAATAGTTCTCTGGAAAATATTTGTCTACAATGATATTTTTGTAGCCACCTATGTCTCTAAATAATTATATGACTTAGGAATGGTACGATACAATAATACTATTATTTTCATGGAATGATATTTTTACAGCAATCATAAAACTATGATGACATAAATCAGTTGAATACTAAAATACATGTAAGGACCACTACTAGTTAGGAACAGTATTGATTAGGATAATATTACTCAGGACTGCTAAAAATGGTACCGATATTAATATGAATCTTATTTTTAAAGGATAGGTATAATATTGACAATATTTCTATAAATAAATATTTGCTTAAAATTAAGATGTATAATTTAAATTATATATAATTACTTAATACTACCATTAAGCTATTAAACGTAAAAACAATTTAAATATTTGTATTATGAATAGGGAAAAGTGACAAATCATAGTATAATTCAGTTCATATATTTTAGTCATTAAAAATGTTGTTTGTAATTAATTATTGAAGATGGCTGAATTCTCATTTATTTTCCATTACAAAATAATTTCAAAAGTTATCATCACTAAAAGATAAATAAAATAAATTAGCCTTTTTGCTTTAGTTAAAAATGATGAAAGTTTTAAAAGATTTCGAATCAATCTGCTTTAATATTCAGTTAGATTTTATACTCAATACAGTTTTGAAATAATACAACCAGCGTTAGAAACAGCACGACAATACAACAATAGAAGTTATTTAATTGGTTTGATTAAACCGTTTTCACTTTAAACTAAGTATACTACTTTTTTTCAAAAATGTTGATGGGAAATAAGTAAAAAAAAATAACGAATTTCACTTAAGATTAATGTACACTAACGTTTGAAAAGAACATGTACGTCTATATTTTATTTATTTTCCCACTTCGGGTCTCAAGCCGTTTTTTTTTCTTCAAATCAGAAATAAAATAATTTTCTTTTCCAAACATTGTACATCAGTGGAGAATAATATTGTCATGTTTTTGTGTTAGTTTTCAGGCGTGGAGTTGGTGGTTCGAGACGCACAAGGTGGCGTCAGCGTCTACAATGTCGAAACAAATAAACACAGGGTACTCCTCACGAGTTCGTCTTTTGTAAGTGCCAATTTACTGGTATCAACTGAGCATACGGTTTTCGCTGATTGAAGGCAGATTCACAAAGCAATACGGTTTTTCTTTTTTTATTATTTACCCCACTCGGGATTGCGTTTCCACGTTCTTGCGTGGATTGTTTTTGAAGGGGAAATAAAATAACAGCAAGTAGCAGTCGACGGATCGATGTGTTATAACAGACGTCTACCGAAAGACCAATTGATTCCGACGGCTTTTGCGTGATCCCGAAACGATTAACTGGGATTTAATCTCTGTAATATGAAACAAAAACCAGACACGAGACATAACGCATCTGTCATACTTAAAACATTTGTATTATTTTGTAGACAGTTTATGACGAAAGTAAGCGAACAAACTATATAATTTAAATTAAATTTGAAATGTGCCGTTTCAACTTTTATTTCAAACGGTTTTATTATTAGGCACAAATATTGAGTACAGTAAAATAACATAGTTTTTGTTTGTTTAAGTGAAAATGATTTTTTCACTTGAACATTACAGCAATGGTTTTTAAAACGTAGTGAGAAAATGAAACTCGGTGGTTTCGGCTTTTCAACAAATTTGTATAACGGTTTTTTTTCATTATATTGTTATTATCATTTTTTTTAAGGGAACCCCCTTTTTATTATTATTAAAATGAAAAACTCTTAAAAACCACGCTTCTATTATACTTTCAATGTCTAGAAAACTACCAGTTTTTTTCAATCTCGTTAGAACGATATGGCCCCATTCAAGATTTTTATCTCTCAACAGTTTTACTTAAACTTGTATTATACAACGATAATTTAAAAAATGTTCTATAGCTTATGTTTTTGACAAAATTATTTTTAGGCATATTGCAATAAATATTTTATCGTATAATAGACTGCATTAATTAAAAACGAAACACCTTCTAACAACGAATTAAAATGCATAATGTTTTTTATAAAAAATTATGGGACCAATAGATGACAACAATGTCAATAACAATACTACGTTATGAATTAATTAGTTTTTTCTTTTTAAATGTCTAGATCATAAATATCTAATTTAGCTGTAATAGTTTATAACTAAAAGCTAATAAAAAAAAATCTAATTCAAGTATAATGTAAATATCACTCCACTTATTTAAATTATATATATATTCAGTTGTTTAATAAATGTAAGGCAGGAACCTTGTAGTTGATGTGTAAACAATAAAAAAAATATCTTATTTTCAACAACAAATTAAAATTAAAACATACAGTTTTCTTTTAATCTTTAAGTCACATTATACAGAGTAATTCTTTTATCAAATAACTCTCATTAGGTATTTGAAAACCCATTTAATAACGTATTTGAAAAATATATATATCGTTATCAACCTTAGGTTTTTTGATGTTTTATTATATAAGAACATATACGTCTCATTGCATATTCTTAAGCAGAAAATAATTTGAAGGAGTTTAATATATAAATTGGCCGTATAGTTATAATTCGTTGTAAGTATTTAAATTATAAATGAGCGGGGTATTGGATCAATATGTTTCTGGTATTCATGGTCTAAATGTTTAATATTTTTAATTCATAAATTATCATACAAAATTATTCAACATATTATATCGATGTACTTTCAAAAATATTCTGTTTTGGAAATGGAAATTACAATTGTATGTTGTCAATAAAATTAAAAATAACTTCAGAAATGTAAAGGATAAAAAATACAAAATGTTTTCAAAGACGTTGATAGTATTTGGTTTAATGAATGTTCTTCGATACAAAACTTACCAAACACAGTATGTCCACAAAGCGCCCGATGTGTTGTACTGTCAATATCTATATAGAATACCATATTTTAGTTACCATTGTTTTTTTTTTTTATTTGTGCGTGTTTTTAGAAACGAGTGAATGCTAATGAATTTCAAACGTCGAGCGATCAAAACTACGTGCTGCTGGTATCTGACGAAAAAAAAGTAAGTGAAACTCACCTTGTGTCAACGCATTATGGCAGACAAACGCCGTACGTGTGACGTTGATATAATATTATTATTTATTTTAAAAAAAGTACGTTGTGACGCGTAGTTAACAATTTATAATATAATAATATGAGAATGTATGATACGCATGTGACGTGTGTGTTCACGTACTTCACGGTTAAATCGCGGTGAAATCCTTAAAATCGAAAAATGATTACGGCTCCTCGTAATGTACGAATATGGGTGTTGACCGAGTATGATTTATGAATATGGCCACTATAACGCTGGACGAGTATTCCTGCAAATAGATAGATTTTTCACCACCGTCGTGGTTGTTCTTTTGCGTGTTTTATCCTATTTGTCGCAGTAACCGAACCGAGTTATTGCCACTTACCTTTTTCTTTTTTTATTTATGCTTCGAAAAATCACCTAGACCACTCACCCTCTTACACTCTGTCCGTATTTCTCTCTCCTTTACACTTCCCTCTCTCTCTCATTCGGCGTGTCTCTCCGTCATTTCTCACCATCCTTCCACCCTTGAGCCCAAACACACTCAACTCCGAACTCTGAATATACCAAATGAACTGTAAAGACAAAAGTTTTTGTCCGCCGCATACCGTACCGGTATCATTAGTTATCGTTTTCTGAACGATTTAACCCGCACTCGTCGGCTGATGGGTTCCATTCGTAATCGTACGAACTTCGTTAGCAGGATACACACACACACACACACACACACACACACACACACGTATTTATACTTACTCTATATTATATAATTTATAGGATATTGTACAACTGATCTAGAGAGGAAGCTTTGTATCGCCGAAGGGTACGATGAGCATAAAGGCGAAAGGTATTTTATTTTTTTCCATTTCCCGTACAGAAATATTTGTTCATCCCTTGACCACAGTCCGACGAACTTTCGGGTACTAATTTCCTGCACATTTCGTGGAATGAGAATCCCCGTTATTTGCGTGCATGTGGACGATTTTTTTTAAATATCATGTTTAACTTTCGAGTTAAAAAATAAATAGAAGGTATATTCCAGAAAAAATAAAAATAAATGTGCTGCATGTTTCAAATTCTACACACCGCTGATGTATATTATTATAGTGTACACAATGTGAATTCCCATTGGGATAACTTTATAAGGGTTTCATTAAGAACTGACAGTGTTTCAAATTAACCGAAAAGTTTGTCACTGATTTGATTTTCGTCCTTTCGTTTTTCTGAAACTAAGTAAACAATGTATTATTTTTTTCTTTTAAGTGGATCGTTTTATTTAATATTATTAGACACCACTAAAAATCTTAAAAATCTAACTTTTAATCCCCTACCATGCATTTCGTATGTTTAATGTCAATATACGACGTAAAAGATAGGTTTAACCATTGAACAATGAAACACTGTACTCTGTTTTATTATTGTGTAGGGTGTATATGAAAAGTCTATCGATTTAAACAATTCCATAAGAATGTACATCAAAGGCACACATATCAAGTTAATAATTAAACAGTACTTAAACTAAAAGATAAGACAGCAAAAGGGCCGAAATTTAATTCCATAAACGACATAGAATTTATGTGAAATCTTCCAATTTACAAGCATTCCGTGATTATAATATAATAGGTATTAATAATTGTACGTTTCATATATGTTCATAGTAATTTAATCCATACCTATTCAATATTGTGAAAAGCTCATTACATCTATTCATAATATATTTGATTAAACTTTTAGTTGGATATATTGCTCTTAGTTTTAATTAAGTACCTACCTATACATTATTTTAGACGAAATTAAATTAAGAATTATTTAAGAAACCAATAATATCGTTTTTCTACTGTACAACTATTATGCATAAAACTGCGTGTTAATCAATTAATTTTTGATTATAATATAACTTATGTAACACAAATAATATATGTACAACTTTATTGGTTTAAAATCCATAAAACTGCTTGTTAACGATGTTTAAAATATTTTGTGTTGTACTTACTTACCTACTTTATTTTACAATATAGTAATCCAATTGTTTTTTTCATTTTAAATTGATTTTTGTTGAAAACATGTCAATGTTGAGACATTTTTAACTGATATTAAAATCAAATAAATAATAAATAATACGGTGGATGGTATCTGACGAATTATGCATTTGAAAAATAAAACAAAATGAAGCGTAATAATAAGATTAATCGGTTTCAAATTAATATTATTATAGGGAGTTTGACCCGATGGAGATAAAAAGAAACAATAATAAATTACTAAAAGCACTTTGAATCTGTTACAAAAATACATTTAAAAATCGTCGAGCAAATAACTGTCAAACTTAATATTATCTAATGAATTATACCAATTTGTCATGCTATATTTCCGGGGTTTTTTTCCGGAAAATTCAATATTTTTCTATAATTGGATTTTTTCCGTACTGTATTACATTAAGAAATATGTATGTGTATAGTGATTGTTTTATATTGTCTTGCTCGGGCAATAACCAATAAAAAGTCTTATAGCTTGAACTATATTATAGATTTTATGAAAGTATTTTGTTATTTTGGTAGGTAGGTACATAAAACGAGTGTACCTATAGACACGGTATATAAACCGAATATTATTATTATATTTACAAATGAAAATCCGTGTAGACTATATGCTACCGTGCACAAATGCAATATTTCACCATCGATTTTATTGAAAAAAAAATACAATATAACCTGGTTGGGAAATTGAAAAAATTTCGACGAATAAAAGTGAAACAAAAATTTCAAAAACAAAAACCACTTTTGCAGCGAGCTCTCGAGAAATGGACGTAAAATGTTTTTGGACAAAAAACGATAAAGTTAAAATGGATGTTTGATTTGCATAAGCCAGAGTAAAAAGTTTTCCGTCAACGTCACGTCCACGCGCGTATTGCCGTTTTTCTTTGGCCCGTCGACGTTTGACGTAAACGACGAAAAGAAAAAATGTTTTAATATGTAAATACTACACACGCCCGTATATAACGGTAATATATACGTGCATATTCTATGGCCGTACCCGCGTCAACCGAATGCCCCGAAAAATGAAGAAATAACGAATAGTCGATAATATATTCGAAAAAAAGAAACGCAACGAAAAGGAATGACGTCGTGATGTCGAAATGGTCTTTAGTTATTACTGTGATGTATTGGCAACCGAACGTGTATTATGCACTTCGCCAGTGGAATTACAAATTAGAAATTACTCGACTCTGCGCAACGTTTGGATGGACCGCGGGAACAACTGAAAAAAACTGAGTATGGACCGATATCCGATTGATATTTCAAAATTAATAATATCCTTACGACCACCGTAGTAGCTGTGTATATAATTGTATTATATTATATATACTTGCGTAAATCGTTTTCTTTTTGAGGTTTTTCTTCTCCTTTCGTATCGACTAGTCCAAGTATCGTATCTTTGAGAAAACCCCATAACAATATAATACTGATTGTTACATTATTTTTAATATCTCGAGTTATCTAAATGTAAAGATTTCGAAACTCTAGTCAGAAAAATATAATAATAATAAAAATAATATTTTGATCATAAGTGTTTTTCACTTAAAATTCTGAACTTTTAAATACTTATTTTGTATTTACTAGCTTAAGCATTTCATAAGTATAATAATAACTTGATACATAGCCTGAAACGAAACGACGTAGGAACGGTATTTGGTTATTACTGAGATATCTCTAGAACCGAACGCATATTGTACACGTCTTCATCAGTGGAATCACAAATTTTAAATTACTCTGAGCAACTTTTGGACATGCCACGTAAGCAGTTGCACAAAAACTGTCCGCAGACCCAAATCCCGATTTCTATTCACAAAATTAAAGATATCCGCCGTGGTAGATAAGTACCAATTGTATTAGTCGCAGAGCTCTGTATACTATTATATATAATATTGTGTACTTACGTTGATCGTTTTTTTGTTTTTGGCATTTTTCTTCTCTTCTCATCTCCTCTCGTCAGGACTGGATGCGAGTTATACGCATAATATGCAACAAACGAGCTCACATTTTTTTTCCAAAATGTTTGTCGTCGGTATTATTGTAAAGTCTGTATGAGTACTATACCAGCATTATTTCACTTGAGTACGCTGGGTTTATTATATTATTGAACTACAATAGTTCTGTCGGAAAATCGATTCCCATTCCGATCGTTTATTTTATGCTCATGTAACACATGCAGAATATATACTTCTGGGTGAAACTATAGGTACATTCTTTGTTATTGATATGAAACCAATAATAGCCCTTAGCGTTTTATTATACATTTCATATTTTAGTTAAATTATGTCAGCTAAAAAGTAACCTTCATTATTTTCTTTTTTCTTTTTTTTTATTGTTTATGCAGTGAATAATTTTTTCCATAGAAGTAAAAGGACACTTACCTACTTAAAATTTAAAATAATTTAGGAAAGTAATTTGAAGAAAAGAATGACTTTTCAGATGTGACGGTGATTGCCAAAGAGTAAAAAAAAAAAAAAAAAATTGTAATAAATTGTTTTTGTTTTATACATCAGCAATACTCGGAAGCTTTTGGTTAAACAATAGTAGTAGGCATTTATTATTTTTAAGATTCTTGTAAATGAAAATTGAATTTAAATTTAATATCGCCAAACATTGAAAAATTCTAATGAAACTCTCAAAACCAAACTAGGATTATTAATTATACTTAACAATAATACATGAGTTACATTTTCATTAGAAGCTTTAAAATAGTATGCAATTAACATCAAAAATACAATCAATTCTATGAATAAAATAAGTAACAAGTTTTAATTTAATAGTACGTAATACTAACTCATTTTTAACACTAAAGTTCACACATGTACGGCAATATTAAGAAAATAAATATTCTTAGTTCGATATAAAACATAACAGGTCAATATAAAAGTGAACCGAAGTTATCCAGAAAGTATTATTTGTTTTTTTACTATTAATAAAGTCATTTAGTACCTAACTTGTCAGTTTTTCAATTTTTCAGCATCAAATGAAGTTGGTTAAATTCATTGAAAATAAAAATGGACAATTTTAAAAGAAAACTGACATATCTTTTTTCAGAATACTTAACTACCATTCGTTTATGTATTTTTGAACATTAATAAGTTACTCTCATACTTGTTGATATATCATAGTTCATGTAAGATTGAGTATCGAGAAAAAAAACATTTTAAGGATTGTAGTTATAATTTATAGACCCTCGTTAATATATTTATATTATCTAAAGCGTGGACACAGTTTGCAATAATTATATTTGTACACAGAATTCGCATTCATGTGCTGCATTCAGTTTTGTATAAACACTTGATTTATTATTTAACTTTCAAGAACATTAAAATATTGTAGTTGGGTGTTGGCCGTTATATATAATATTTAATAATTATATTTTTCCAGTCATAAGCAACCTCATTACATTGAAATTTGATGGATTTTAAGTAGATATTGTAACAATAATGTTATGTTATTCAACTCCTAAACCATGTTCAAATAACAATAAAATTAAAATATTATGGTAATTTAAGTTTTTTTCTCGAAAATAATTATTTAATTATATAATAATAAAACACATTGCGTGTGGATATATATTAAAATTAATGAAAGTATAAGTAGTCATAATATTATACAAACTATTATATAAGCAACTAGTATACCTACATAATAAATATACAATATAAGATGAATTATTTATCTTGGTGAAAAAATAAAAAGAATATTATAAATCTGGCCTATCCGGATTAGCTGCTCGGGTATTTGAATATTAAACCAGATTATTCAACCAAAAAACTGAGTGGCGGTCTGTTTTATACACCGCAATTTTTTTGTACACTTTACGAGAAAAATATCCTCATATTCGGTATACTTTTTTGTTATTTCGTTGTTTTTTTTACCTGGAGTTTTTCCAGTCCTCTTTGAAAAAAAAACTCTTGTAGAACATAAACTTTTACTGCGATACTCGGAGAATTCATTACTGCACCTATCCGCCATCATTGTGCAGTGTACATAACGGATAAAATGTACATTTCATCACAAATGCTTATAACGAATATAATGGAGACCCGTTAGCGTTATGAGCAATGATATACGTATATAGTGGACTAGCTTAATATATATTTTAAGAACGAATTTACATTTTTATGACGCATTTGGATACATGTCTGCCACGCGATTAAGCTTCGCGACAACCGTTACCAAGGACACCGGGGACAAAATCACGACTTAATACGTAATAAAAAAATCATTTACCAACATTTTTATTATTTTTCATTTTGGATTTTTTCATTTCAATTAAATTAAACCGAATTTAAACGTTTATCGGTGAGAGTAATTTATTACTAACAATTTAAAAATTCAAATAAAAAAATTATGATGTAACAATGATGATTAAACCTTTAATGATCTCCTTAAATTAATAAACATTATTACTAGAACTGTTTATTATGCATGGTACCTGTTATAATATATTAATTAATATTATACAAAAATAAGGTAACCAAGGTTTAAGTTTGAAAACCACATAAACTTAATGATTATTACGCTATTTTTAATATCTTGACTTATTTAATATTAAGTCGTCGAGACTATATAGTCATAAATATATAATACTTATATTATTAATATTGATCATTAATACAGACAATATTATTATATTAATTTCATTCCCAAAAATATTTTTAATTGTATGCGTTTTCATTAAATATTTTTTTATTTTATTATTATCACAAATTTATAATGTTTTCATTGTAATACCCTAACTAGAAATGTATTTTCATAATTATATAATACAAAATAATAATAAGCTAATAATAGTATTTTGTGTTTGCTGTATTATATTCTATCGTTGGTATATTTTATATTTTTTATTGTTTTAACATATAAAATACAAAGTCAAGCTCATATTTCTACGTAGGTACAGCTTAATATACTCAACAGTTTATTACGCTTTTTTGGAATTTAATAATAAAAACTTAATTAAGTCACAGGTGCTTATGTCTACAACTATTATACGTTCTACTGCCCACAATATTGGAACATGGTAGTATGAATATAACAATAATGTACATTTACACCTCCAATAAAGTGAAGTATTATTATTGCACCAAATGTTCAACACTTAAAACTCAGTTAGCTATAAACTGAAGCATATTGATTTGAGGGAAGATGATGAAATTATCTGTCTCGATTTAAAGCCAAGTAAATTTTCTACTCTTGTGCAGTATTGAAATGTTCGAAAAGTAATCCGAAAATAATCGGCTTAGAGCCGATTGAAAGGGAGGGATAAAATATATGAATTACGATCATGTTGGTCGTACATAAAAACATAATAATATTATAATGCCATGATATAGGTAGGTAGAAAAACGTGAAAGAATATAATTATTTTTATCTGAAATAAAAGTGATAGAATATCATGGGCAGTATTAAAACCGAAAAAAAAATTTTAAACCGTACTTGTAGCGAAATTATTATCATTATTACCGTCACACTCGACGTAAATACCTACGCGTTAATATTAAAAAACGCTCAGCTCTTTTCATTTTACTCACTCGAAATTTTTCGGTTTTTTTTTAGATTTATACGAACACCCGGGAGGCCAAGTATCACGTTTTTGAAGTGTCGACCCAGTAAGTCAGAGAGCGAGCACCTTAATGCCTTGGGATCCTCTGCGCACGCCTTAATAACTCGATTTTTTTCTTGTCGTTTTCCACAGAAATGGCGTACCACTCATGACCGCCTCCAAAACGGTTGACGATGGAGAACAGATTTACATACAAAAAGCGCAATGGTCGCCGACGGGTAGTGGGCTGGTGTTTGTGCACAAAAACGATCTGTACTACAAGATCCACGGGAACCGGCACAGCAGAGTGGTCAGGATCACGGACACGGGTTCGCCGACCGTGTTCAACGGCATACCGGATTGGCTGTACCAGGGTAAGTGGCAGCTCGTGATGGTACGTTTTTAATATAATATTATCGTCATCATTGTGTTACGTGTACCTACCGGAGTCGTAAGGCATATAACTAATTAAGTTCGACGACTTATTATCGAAAAAAAGGCAACTGTGCGTTGTAAAGGACAATATGATACTTTCAAACATTTTGCTGAAGTGATGATGTAAATTTGTTAATTTTAGAAAATATTACAAACGTCTTCACATCTTGAGTATAAATAGTTTATAAATCAAACAAGAAAAAAAATATCAACACAACCGGCAATGTGTTATTATATAGGCAGTACTTTATTTTTGAAATATTAAATTAATAAACGAAAAATCATCAGCAAGCAATATTAAGTCTGATAAAATAATATTATTATGATTATAAACATTAATACTTTCACTTTAACAAATGTTCACGCCACGATCATTTTTTTATATTTCAGAAGAAATTTTCAAATCCGATAAGGCTTTTTGGTTTTCACCATCCGGACGGTATTTGACTTACGTGACGTTTAATGATTCATTGGTCGGCGAGTACAAATATCCAGTATACAACACTCGATTCCAGTATCCGTATTATCAGTCATTACGGTATCCCAAGGTAGGTACCTAAATGGCTAAATGTATTATTGTTATAAAAAACGTTTTTGTTTATATTTTTTAATATCTTTTTTTACACTTATTACCTGCAAATTGCAATATATGAACGTGGTCAATAGAATATGATAATTTTGATTAAATATTATACGTTTTATTGCGGAGTGTTCGTTTCGTTCTCGATTAACTGTCAGTCAAATTAATATAATGCACAAATATTAATATATTTAGTAGCGAGTTTATTGTTGTTAATAAATAATTTCATTTTTATAATGTATTTTGTTATTTTTATGAAATTAAAACAATTTTCAACTAATTAGTCTAGTTTGAGAAATATAATATAATAATTTTTTTTTCCGCAATAAAAAATTATTTCATTAACATTTATTAATTTTAAAAGAGAAGCATATGATACTGTACACTGTTAAATTAAAAATTATTAATGACAACAATGAACATTTTACGATGGAATGTATTTAAACCACTATGGTTATATTCAAATATAATATGCATTTTTATAAATTAAATCTAACCATTTTTAGCATAATACTGTGCACACTTAATTAATTTCCACCAGCCCACATATACGTCTATTATTTTAATTGTATTCAATTTAAGCGTGTAAAATATTGCTTATTCCAGGCAGGAACGCCAAATCCAACGGTGACTGTGTGGTTGAGAGACTTGAAAAACGATAGTTTATTAAACGTTACACTATTGCAAAAACCACAAACCTTGCATATGGAAAGGTGAGATGATTGTTTTTTAAAGTGGGTGTGTTAATATAAAAACTTAATATGAAATAAAATTTCAACCTAACTTGGTTTATACATAATATAGTAATAGTTATGAGCTTTCCAGTTTTTTTTAAAATAATAAACAAATATTTTGTTAAAACGCATCTTATAGTATTCTTACTTATTACACATGACTTCTAGTTTTAGGCAATTTCATTACACGTTTGTACTAACTTAATAATTTATTTGATATTTTTATGGGCTCATATTTTAATAATTTTTTTTTTTAATTTGATAGTGAACCCTATTTGATGCATGTCAAGTGGGCAAACGAAAGACGTATCGGAGTAGTTTGGATGAATAGAAAGCAGACAACAATGGTCATATCGGTATGCTCCGAGCCAAACTGGGAGTGTCAAGATGTGAGTATGAAACTATTAAGTGAATCTTTGCCAGTCGCATGATAATCCTATTATTGTCTAATCCCAATGTTGTGCTCACTGGCACGTGATTGATATAATATAATATTGTATGATATAATCTGAGGAAGATGATCTAAATACGAATATATCATAATATTCCACGAGATTGGTTTGAAGAACAAACCATTTTTTGAGGGATAAGTGATTTTATTATATTTTTACATATTCTATATTATATTATTATAACATACTTTCATCATTTCAAATTTTGTCGATATTTCGCCTAATAAAATTTAACGAAATAAAATGTATTTGTCTAACAATTACGAATTCATTTTTTCTCATAATCGAAAAAAATAAATAATACAGTGTGGTGGTTTTAAAAACCATTTGTTTACAAACAGTAAATTTATTGCAAACAAAATATTTTTTTTGTATACCATTTTAACTAATTGTGTCTTGTCATTTCAGTCTTATGTGGAGAAAATCGCTGATGGAAAAGGGTGGCTGGAAAACACCGAAGTCGTGTTCAACGAGGAGGGCACTAGCTACTTAGCGATACTACCGGTACTTGATGGTCCACGTGGCACGTACCCACACATCTGCCTGGTAGACATATCCACAAAAATCGTACTCCCGCTGACAAGTGGAAGCTTTTGCGTTGTCCGAATTGTCCAGTGGGACCAGACGAACCAACTAATGTAAATAACAATGATAATAACTAGTACAAGTCAAACATAGGTACTGACGAGAATTTAGGGCAACAGTAATTTTATCATAATAAGAATTAGGAGTAGTTAGAACAAAATAGAGTAAACAGTATGTAACGACGATCATCCAAAATGATTTAAAATAATATTTAAGTCTGTATTTTAAAAATGTAATAAAAAAATAGGAAAAGATTGAAATGATAAATTAGTGTCGAACACTTATTTAAGAGGGAGGTTTGTTTTTTTAAAACCAAACGAAAATCACAATTTGGTATGTGACCATTATTACTTATATTATAGAGGTTGGTGAAGATATTTTCTTAATAATAATAAAAAAAAAAAAAATTTTAGGTTTGAAACTATTTCTTAAACGTCAAATAAGGCCAACAAAATCTCGCAATAGTATATCAGTGTCCGCTTAATAATTCTCTTCACCGTATTTAACGCTACCTATTGAAGGGATTAAGTCCAAATCGGTTGGTGAGGGTCTTAAACGGGACAGTATAATAAAATATGATAATTTTATGTTCGTGGTGCAAACGAGTTATTGTTAATATCGTCACCCATGCCGTTTCGTCGAACGATACTATGCTTATGCCATTTTTGTGACAAACAGATTCGGTGTGATTGATCATGTAATGCGTAGGTAAAACTCATTATAACACCTAATGACGTTTCCGAATTATCTGGCGACAATAACGTGACAACTGTAGCGTAAACATGCAGCGTAAACCACGTTCTACCATAACTATTAATTTACTATGAATCCGTAAAAAGTATAAATATTCCTTTAAATGGTTCACAGAAAAAAAAAAGCACATTATAATGTATATCATTATGACGCATTCAATGAGCATTTGTGCCTATGTTTAAATTGGTGAAACCACAGTAGTTGTTGTTGTGTCTGTTCAAATTAATGTTAAATTATTCGCTTTATTGGGGCATAATTGTCTATAGGTATAAATGTGCACTTTAGAAACACTAACTTTCATTTACAGATACTTTGAAGCGATACCGGAAGGGAAACCGTCACAAAGGCATTTATATAAAGTACCGGATAACGTAAACAGCACAGCGGGCTGGGAATGTCTGACGTGCCCTCCAAGTGGACCGCAAAAGAATACTTCCAAAATGGACATTTCCACGAGTTCAGATATCAGGTAAGTCCGGAAGTCATCGAGCTTAAAAACAAAAAACAAAACTAAGCATCAAAACTTAAAAATCGCATCTGGATTATTTTAAATCCAACAGTGGTTGTAAGTTTTTGACGATAACGTCTTATACTACTAAGCTATTGTCCTACTCCTTGAGCGCGCTACCACCTGCCGTCGTAGTTTATGGATTATTCAACAGATGGAGCTACATTATTTATATTTTTTTTCACAGCGACTCTTTTCGGTTAAGTCTTAAGGGATTGGAGTCGTCGAAACTACCACAAGACTCGTGGCCAGTGAGGACAAACTCATGCCTTTATGTCCGATCTCATTTTTGTCGATACCCGAATTCTAAATATTACGTTTTAGAATGTTTAGGTAAGTATTTGTCCAATCGATTAAATACTAAAATTTAAATATAATGAAATAATGTGTCGAGGCCTATCTATATTGTTTTTTCGGAAAATGACAAAATAAACTCTGGACTCCGAGGCGTTGTTATGTACGTTTTAAATGAAAACATTTTCGTTTAGTCGGAAAGAGAATTTTGTAACCAATTTATAGTTAATTTTTAGTTAATATAACTTATTTTATGAACATCAATAATTAATCAATATTATATATACATTACTATTAAAAATCATCTATAAAGATAATCATTAATTTATTCAATACATGATAATTATTTTATGAAATACCTACATATTTATCAAATTAATAAAATACTTAAGAAATGTATGTGTAACTTCTATTATTAGAAACGATGATCCCTACCATATTTTAATATGTTTATACCATATCAAAGTCGTTATTACTTATATTCCATTATTTTATGTTTAACTGAATGTTTTAATTTACTGCTACTTTACTATTTGAAATTTGTTTTTGTTCAAATCAAAAGTTTACGTAAAATCGACAGATAATGACTGTGGTGTAAACAATATCTGATAATAAGCAAAGAGGTCTAAAGATACAGAATAATCTTTTGTCGTTCATATCATTTTTTATGAATAGTTTTGTGGTTCTTATTTGAATATAATATCCATTCAATTTGGTGAAATAAAAAATGGTGTGTCGCGATGTTAAAATCAAATTTATATGATGAGACTATTTTGTATAGAATTTTAATTGATCTGTAACTGAATTATTGTTTATTTTGTTGATAAATGTGTACCTAAATAAAATAATAATTATTATAATATTCTAAATACTTGTGATAATTGTATGATTATTGTACACTCGACACAATGAATATGAAATAATAATAATTGTTTGTTATCAATCATTAGTTAGGCTAGTTTTAAGTTGTAATGTAAAACTTTAATGATAATGTGCATTTCCAATTAAATTAATTTAGCTCATTTTGGTTGGTCCATGATTCGACAAAATCTCAAATAAGATATATTATTTTCAAATATATGGCGGTATTAATAATATTAATAGTATTTTATGATGTACTTATTATGTATAGGTCCCTTGGTGCCAAAAGTGATATTGATGAACCTGCAGATAAATCAAAAAGTAATGATATTGAACAATCATACTGCACTGGCAACTAAATATTCTGCTATGGCTAAACCTAACATACAAATAATGCAGGTAGATGATTAAAAACAACTATTAACAGTGGGATAAGCCAATATGTTGTTTAAGTAATTATTGACACAATTACAAACAATTCGAAACGATTTCCGCAGGTGGAGGTCGAGAGCGGATTTATCGCTCAAACTAAATTGATGCTGCCGCCTGCGTTTAAGGAATATGACGAAACCGCGTTTCCGTTTATTTTATACATGTAAGAATATTGTTGTAGTTTTTAGTGTTTCCGTCTTATTAAAATGATATAATAATATTACATAATTAATGGTGACCGATTGATTTTCAACCGTTCATATATAAAATCAGAAAAATATTTTAAAGTGTCATGCATTTCGAGGTGAACCTAATATATTTGGTTGGTTATAGAAAAGGTAAGCCTGGCACTCAGTCGGTGACCGAAGAGTGGTCTGTGGATTGGGCCACTTACTTATGCAGCAACAAGAACATTATCATCGCCATAATCGACGGTCGCGGAACACTGGGCCAGGGTGATAGGTCCAGAACGTCAATTTACTATAAAATGGGAATTACTGACATCCAGGACCAGCTTTCGGTTTTGTTGTAATTACAGAAATTTAATTTACACTTCTGTCCATTGTTTTTTAATCAATGTGAGCGCAAGATATAATAACAACAATTTATGTACAGGTATCTCAAAGACACTATGAAGTTCATAGACAAAGATCGTATTGGAATTTGGGGAAAAGGATACGGAGGATACGCCACTGGAATGATATTGGCAAAACAACCGGAAGTATTTCGATGCGGAATTGCCACGTCACCGATTACGAATTGGGCTCATTTCGGTAATTATTATAATATTGAACATCTAACCTAATGTAATGCGCATATGCTTGCAGGTAAATATTAGTGTGTATTAAGAGATTAATGGTTAAATAGTATTTGTAAATTTAAAATTTAATAAACCTAATTATTACTTTTATATACCTAGCTGTATATATATATAAATATTTTATACATATACCTTACCTCTAAGGGAAACAAAATAATTCTCTGTTTTATAGATCATTAAACTAATTTACATCAAAAAGTATTCTCTAATTATTCGTAGTGATAACATTTAATAGTTTGTAAAGTTGTGTGATAAAAAAAAAATACTTAACCAATTAACTATTCATTTCGAAACTTTAGATGATACTCATTGTTGTTTTAGATTCGGCTTGGACTGAAAAGTTGATGGGGACCCCAAATGTGACAGACAATTACCGTGGATACGAAGACTCAGATTTAAGCAAAAAAGCAATTACATTGGATAAAAAATTGTTAATGTTAATCCACGGCAGTGCAGATGAAACGGTCCATTATCAGCATAGCATGATGCTGATTAGAGCATTAACAGAAAAGGGAATATTATTCAGACACCAAGTGCGTGGTCATTCATTACTTTTTAGTATACATTTTATTAAGTATAAGTTATATATTCAAGTACAGAAGTATAAAATTATGTCTAAATAAGGTCATTTTTTTTTACGATTAAAGTAAAAGTATACAATAGCTGTTAGGGAAGTTTCTAATTAGTTTCGCAAACAAATAATGTACATTTAATTTAGCTTAAATATTTAAAAATTAACTTAAAATTAAGTTATAAGAAAAGTACTTATAATTTAATGTAGAAACAGTTTTTAACTGCTTGAATAATATGCATATTTTATTAAACTGTACGGTTTGCTAAAAAATCAAACAATAATCTATGTTCACTATCGAACTTATGCTTTTTGACAAAATTGTCATGACTATTTTAATTTGTTTTTCAGACCTATCCAGACGAAGGCCACACGTTCGATGGATCAACTAAACATTTATTGCACGCTATGGAACATTTTTGGGACGAGTGTTTTGGTCCATTGGATTTTGACGACTGGGACGAGAGCCTAAACTTTTTTGCTTTTACACAGTAATACAAAATACAAACCATATTGACCCAGTGATGTACTTGTGGCTGGGGTTGGGAGTATAATATACTTCCAGGAAGTTACTTATATTCTTATAAGAATGAAAAAAAACTTATATGTTGTTATTAACAATTTTTTTTTTCAAAAATAACTGGTTCCTTCCAATATATTGATTAAGTATGTTACTTATCAAAATAATAAGTTGTGATAACCACACATTCAACAGTTACAGAATCTGTTATTTTTGACAGTATTCAAAATATATTGTTGGAGTATCTACATTCAGATGAATTTTCTTGGGCGTTGTGTTATCAGCTATGTTTTTTATAATCGTGGCAATCATTAATTTATGTTTCAGCATTTTATCATAGGAGCTTTTACAATTATTCATTATAATAACTACCTTCCCCTCTGACAAAACAATATTCGAGTACACGCCATTGGATCGACCGATGTCCTTTCACTGCTTCAGAAATGTTTTCCGATAATGTTAACATATTCACAGGGTTATCCATTTCATGGCGAAATCGATCTCATAATCGTATTCGTAGTCCAAAAAATGGAGAAGCTAATATCGTTATGACGATAAATCTGTGTGATTTGAAAATATCCGGAGTCTTACAACAATAATAATAACCCTGGTAAACAACTTTTTTTTTGTATCTCATAAACATCGAGAGCCTTTAAGGGAATTAATCCGTTGTGTTTTTCATTATTATTTTACTATTTATTTACAGTTTATCGTTATAAAATAATTTTTACACTCAAATTGTGTACTAATAGTGGTTACATTTCACACGCATTGCATTGTGCAGGCTTCATTCATAGTACACTTTGCTTTTCCAATCAGAACTAACTACGGTAGAACGTTTTTGTAACGACTACATTTATAATTGTATCGTAAGTGTAAATCAGGCATATTACATTTACTGTTTATCAAATAATTTCGTGCAAATAACACAAACAATAGTTGAATTTGTTTTATTGAAATATAGTCGATTTTCTATTGATTGTTATGTAGAATATCTAATACATTATTTGGCTCAAGTAACACTGTGATAAACGACTATATAAAAAAAAAAAATTGTTGCAAAATACGTTATTACAGTAAAACCATAATAAATACAACTTTTGTTATTTCATAAATATTAACACTACATGTTATTATTTTACACAATGTGTATGGAATTAACGATGGCTAAAAAAATCATATGTAATAATATAAATAATTAACTGCCAGAATATCTGTGTACATTCGTTTTGAGAAAGGCTAACAGTCTGTTAGTAGAGAATACCTACTATTGAACTATCAGCTCATTCAAAGAAATATTCAATATTTAACAATAATCACTTCAACCGTATTATGTTCCTTGCAAATATGAACTCATTTTGAAAATAAATTTTAATTGATACACAATGTCTAAGGACTAAAATGTAATTTTATATTATTTCATCGGATGTTAAGACGCAAAGATCTTTAAATTTCTGTGACAAAATATGTATGCCTGTTTAAGTCATTATTTAAAAATGTCTTGCAAATATTCAAAAGTGAATAATAAATGTCAGTAAGTTATTGAAGTATGCACTGATATTCGTTTGATAATATGTATCTATCCTAGTGAACGATACGAATTCATCTATTGTTATTCGGTATACATATAAAAATAATCATTGTTGTTATATTATATTATTTATACATTCCTTTAGTAACTAAAGCATAGTTGGTAGGGTACTTATACAGTTTTGTAATTTATGTGTATTAAAATTAAATATGGTTCTGATCATGTTTGATAAAATTTGAGATAATTTTGAAAACAATGAGAATACTGTATGGAATTATTAATTTAGTACTAAGATATATACTAAGTTTGTGGGAGTGTTAATTTTATTTTGGAATAAATTCAAACTAAATACACAGATTTAATCAATATTATAAATGTATTTTTTACTTGAATACATATTATATTCATTATATTACAATTTAACTCAATATTCAAAGTTGAACTATTGTTTGACAAAAAAAATAAAATAAAATAAAATAGCCCATATTATGAAATATTATATTGTAAGAAAAAAAAATGAGAAATAATCAAGTAAGAAAATTATTATGTATCCCAGTTTTTGGATCTTTTTTGTGTAAAATTTTATTTTTATATATCTCAAATGTTTTAGATATATTGTTGCTTGTGATGAATATTGTTTCATGTTAATTTTGTAATGAATATTTTTTTTTTATCACCATTTTACGTTAAGAGTTTTACCAAAGAGGTGACTGCAGACTGATTAATATTTCCATTAAGCCTTCATTTTCGTATTAAATTTTCCAATAGCACACTTTATCTTAATACAAATAATACATCATAATTCCAATGATAACCTGCTTCCATTTAATTACATTTTATTTAAATACATAATAGGCTCACATACATTCCAATTTAAAAAAAATGTATAAACATTTTATTTTACAGATGGTATATAGCTTTTCAAAAAGTTGATACATTCTTGTTTTTTTAAAATGATTTGTATATTTTTTAATCACAATACTATCAACAAATTTTTTTTTCTTTTCTCAGTCTAATTTACCTCCACCCAAAAAAAGTAATGAGGTAGGCAAAGTCTATGGTATTATATAAGTAATTTTAACCTAACTTAGAGTAAATCGGTTATTTTTCAGGACCCTGTCATTTATTGAATAACCATAAATCATATTTAATTTTTGCTATAACTACAGTTACTACGATACTATAGTTATTAAGTCATCGATCCCAAATCTCCCAACATTGATGACGTTTTCGTTAAGATTTGATCTCTTGGTTTTGTTTAATACGAATAATTTGGCTGTGTTTTGATATATATATATATATGTTTCGTTTTCATATAGTTGTTGTGTTTAGCATCGTTTTAAAATTGCATGCAATGAGCCCGAGGTGCCAAAGTCCGTCCATCGCGTATAGCATAAACAGCGGTTTATGTCTCGACGATTATTTAGATTAGATCGCACGGCTAGGTCTCGAAAAGTCATTTAATAATTATTATAATAATAATATAACAATATTATTACTGTGGACTAAATGTAGTAAGCGGGAACCCTGATACATAACTACAATGATAAAATAACGTTTTTACTCTTAAAATGATAATCTTATACATATTATATTGTTTTTAGGTTAAAGTTCCTCATAATATTTATGTTATATTAAACTATAGGTTGGCTTCAGTTCTCGTTTGAAAATGTTGAAAACATATCACATAAGAAATATTTCGATTGCGACTTAACGATAATATGATAATATTACCTATAATATGACTTTCCTATATTTTAATCACCAACACTTGGTTCAGCGGCAATACAAGTGTTGAACGCTTTTGTGTAGAAGGTGCCTAGTTGTTTTAAAATGATTTCGTTACGACATTTTGTTATCGTATTGTTATGTATACAATTTATAAATATAAAAAAATATATATATTTTTTTTTTTAGTTGAACAAAAACATGTATTGAAAATAATGTGTAATGCCATTGTCTTAAAGATATCGCCCTGAGTTCAAAGGCATATGTGTGTATGTTAAATATATTATACAATACAACTGATACAATACGACGTGTAGATGTATTGTATTTTTTCTTAGATATAAATTACCCACATAAAAAATATGGAATTGAAAATGTAATATTGCTGTCACTTAACCGTTTCATATTTATGCTTTGGATAATGTACATTAATTACCGCATTAATAATATACATTTATATTATATGGTTATAATCTGTTAAAATTATTAATACTTTAAACGACTTAAAAAATGATTTACATATTGTGTGTTTCTAATAAATAATACTTTTAAAACAATTTGGACGTATTGCTAAGTATACGGTGTTATGCGTGTGACTTATTGATGTTAATATTTAAGAGTTGTGTACTAAGTTAACCGATTATAAACCTATTACCGTGTTAAATGTTTGCGCCCTTCTGATGTAATGTATTATTATAATAAAATACTGAAAAAAAAAATGAACAATAATGTTATATAGTATTCATTCGTTTTATGTTTAGACTTTAAATGGAATAGCATTTTAATTAAATTGTTTTGTGTCCTACTATAACACAATATTATTATGCTACCAAAAATATTCGTCATTAATATTTACTTTTTCAATAATCTGTATTTAAATATGATACATTTTTTTTTAATACTAAACAATACAAAAAAGTTACAACTTTACCGAAACTTATTTCAAGCAAAAACCATAAAAACGTATACTCATAATAGATTTTTAAATAAAGCATCAGTTACATTTAATGGCTGTCTATAATTCTATATTTTCATTGTTATTTTGTAATTAAAAATAAATAATTGTATGTTTCAGTATAACGAGAACTTTTAAAAAGTAGATAGATAATAAACAATAATTGTTGTGATTTAAAGAAAACAAATAGAAACTCCCTTATATAATTGATTCAAAAATTACACTAGATATTTGTTTATATTATTATGTGTTAAATTAAACAACCGTCAAGGAAAATAATATCTATACAATAATCTACTTAAAAAGATTAATTCAGCTCGAGTAGTGTTAAAAACAACTACATTCAACTGGTATCATACATCTGTTGATATTCAGGCAATAAAATAATAACAATTGTCGTTTATTTTTCACCAATTAGAACAATAAAATTACAAGTTTTAAGTAATATGCATGGTTACACATCATCTATAAGCATTAACTTATGAATATTAAGACAGAAATTAACAAACTTTGTTCTCTTCAAATAATGCTTCGACAAAGACTCTAACAATGTGTGATGAACGTGATTCATTGGAATTTAACTCTCAATAAAATGTTTAGGAAGTTTCTTATTTTCGTTTTGAACAACAAAATATAATTATAAAATGTTAAACAGAAAACTTTTTAAATGTGTAGTTTTGATATAGTTTATGTACAGGAGAAGCCAACTAGGAAACTTAAATAAAGATCCTATATTAAAACATAAAAGGTGGATAAGGAAATAACCGTTTTGATGTACAGTTTATGGTTTGAGTAGTAAAATTATATACTCCATCAATGAGTTCCTAAGACACTGTAATATGTGTGTTAAATTTGAACTCAATGAAAATCATTGTATAAGAAAACCGATTCTGAGTGAATACGATATTCTGCCGAACTATATTACCAACTACCAAGTAGCCTAAGTATCTATTTTACTCGGACCTATTTTTATTATATATTAATCTTGCTGGTACTTATGGTGATTTATTGTACGACGAGTAATAAATAAGGTTGAATTATTTTTTCTGAAAACATTTATTATATTATGAATAAGTAAAATATAGAAGAATTAGTTATATTACATTTTATTGTTTTTAAACTTTTTGGTCAAAACTGACTCTACCTTAAATATCTAACCTAACCTAATCTACAGCAGTTTATGAATATGTAATAGAAAATAATATTTTTGAATTAACTTCAACGAAATAACTAAAATCGTTTTCTTCGTTTAGACACTGAATGCCAGATGGAGATAGATATATTTGAATTTTAAATGTCTTATAAAAATGTCGTTCGTATATTACCTATATTATAAAAAGTAGCATGATACTAGTATTTTTCCTCTACAATGAAAACTGAAGAATTTTAGGTATGTTTATGGGTATTATATTGAGCAGTGAAAAAATATGTAGCTACATTTTGTTATGGGTTTGATAAATACATTTTATTATTATTATTATTATTAATGATTTGTGTTACAAAAATCGGACTATTGAAAATCGGTCAGAATAGTAAAAATTGTAGCCAGTCCAAAAACATATCTTTGGTAAAAAAATGGTTTTTATGTATTTTTTATTTTTTTTTCGTTTTAGGTGTGAAATTCATTCGAGGGACTTTGCATTAATACTTCAATCCTTAGCTAAATCTAATTTAACATTTTATAAATTCTTATTTACAAAATAATTTTCAATTTTTTTCAAAACTTGAAATTTAACAGTTTCAAAAAAATGTATCTAATTTCAGACACATTTGAATTTCTATTAGAACAATTAATGAAAAACTTTGTATTATTGTTCAAGATTTTCCCATAACAATTTTCTCGCATATAAATTATAAGTACAACGGTATAGATACATTCACCTAGAGATATTTTTAAATTTAGACACAAATAGTGTCAAAAAATCCAAAATATTATACCACATCTATTAAGTGCTGATTTAAAAAAATTATCTTCTAGTGTGTTAAATCATTAATGAATTGTATTACAAAACACAATATTAATCTTGTTCTTGACGACTTAAAATTACTTTGGAGTAAAATATCTGGTTTCCCACAATTTTAGATTCTAGACGGCTCTGACGAATGTATTGATATTAATATTATGTTTTTTTCTGTGGATGGTGGTTCTCTGTAAATTTAAAAATACCCGGAATTATGTTATTTTGTTATAGTTTAAAGCAAATAACCATAGATACATGAAATTTAAAAAAAATGTTTACATATAATATAATATTATATAATTTCCTTCACATGGTATAATATAATCCATATATTTTGATTATTTTTGAGGTGTTCGCAGACATTTTAAAGTATCTAATTTTTTATATATTTATGGACGATAAAACAAAATGTATGAGAGTAAAAATTTTAAACATTAGGAATTTAGGAAAAAGTTTCGAGTTATTGGTTTTAAATGTAGTTTAGATTTTAAAATGTATTAAGTTAGTCAAATTGTATTGCAATTACTGTACAAAATGCATCTGTCACATTAATTTGTGTTTTTCCAATAATGTCAATAAAAAATATTTTTACTGATACTTAATTTAATATGTTAGTATGGTTATTTAAAGCAAATTAATGGTACTTTATATGAGTATTTGAATTTAAAATTTGAACAGAATTTATCAATATCACTAAATTTTTAAAACAATTTTATACTTAGTTAAAACATAAAATTACTATAAAATATTAAATTTGTATTGCAAAGGATTGATCATAAAATACAAAGTTTTTCATTACTAGTTTATATTTGACGCCTGATTTTCAGCATAACCACTACAGTAACTTGTTTTTCATCTATTGTTTTCCTATAATTATTTTTAAAAGTACAGGAAATGTGGACACTTAAAATACCATTTATATTCGTTTATAATTTTACAAGAAACCACCATTTGGTGAAATATTGAATATTTGTTTTACTTGTGACTACCTATAAAAGTCTAAGTAGACTTACCTAATTACATAACTTAAAACGTTGGATTTTCATTATAATTAACCCAAAACTTGGTTCATATTACACCGAATAGTGGAACTATTAAAGTCTAAGTAAAACATATTGCGAATCCTCGATATTGATTGGTGATGGGTGACAACCGAATAATAATTTTTGCTTGTAACACCATTGTGGTTACTAACACTAATTATATATTTTATACATAACAACTTAACCAACACAATATACGTATTATAGCTATAAAATTATCCAAAATATAATTAAATGATATTTCTTTGATAGCAGTTATGGATAATACTACGATATTCAAAACTGTATATTATAGAGTAAAACAGGTCTATTTTGGCAACCTAATAAATTATTATGTACTATAATGATAAAAAATTATCGAAATACGTATTATCCTTTTCTACTGTAACAAAGTAGAGCAATATTAACTGTTATAATGTGTACAATATTATACATTATTTTTTGAATTTTTAAAATACATTTATTTGTATACAAAAATATGGCATAATATTATTGTTATCTTGTTCGATATCAAATGTTACATGCGTTGTATTGTAATATCTTAAAAGTTACAAAATAATCATATTTTGTGAAATTTTCACAGGAAAATGTCTTATTTCTCTAATATTACGTGGTGTCTTACATAGATTTTAAAATATGATGAAAGAATACTTAACTTATTCTATGGAACAAACATAGAAAAAAATAATTTTGGGTGACTAAATATGTATATTTTAATAGCTATCACTGATTCGGCGTCGTTTGTGAAGCCAAGATATCCATTGTTGTTCTCAACCAACCTGCTTGACGTTTCGTTTCACATTTTTTTTAAACAATTAATACTTATTATTTTGATTTGTATATCGAAGTATTAATTAGAAACACCCTTTGATGGGTTTCTTTTCCACGTCATGCCATTCTATCACACAAACAAATGAAACATGATTTTGTCCCTCCGTCGTCTTGGAAACGAGAAAGAAAAATCGAATAACATCAGCCATTCGTTAAACGGTCATTACTTAACCACAATATTCCACATTGCCATCATGTTACCAAAGTTTGATACCGCGTCATCATGAGTCAGCCACTATAATATTTGCACGTCAAAAACACGCGTTAAAAGTCATATCAATATAATATTTTGTTGTCGATGCCACAATACTTGTATACTGTTAAGAAATCGATATGGAATATCTATAATATACCTAAAGGTATCCTTTGTTTTTCATTTGGGCTATATATGTATACCACACAAAATTTAAGACATCGTAAACTACGATCTTCTACCGTCGTTGTTAATAAATAACATAGTATGTTGCCGTTTTGGAATTTCTCCGATTACAATGATTTTAATTAAACAGTGACAATATTATTTCCATAAATATTTATGGTATAATGTATTATTCTACAAAATAAAAACTTGTTGAATGATATTCTCATTCAAAAATTAAAATCTTCATTATCTATTAAAATGTACTATTAGGTATATACTTACTAAAAAAACTTCAGCTGACTGACAATTTTTGATACCTGCATTTTATCGTGAAACGTGTTTTTAAAATGTAATAAAAAGATGACACTTTATTCAGTATACAGAATAATGAAATTTAAAATCAAGTGCATAGGCACGTAACAAGATTTATAAACAACTTATTTATAACATAATTTGTTTTCAAATCTACTTATAAATTGGATGAATAATAAAATGTTGTACAAGATTCTAAGCAGAGAGATGAATGTATTGATTTTACCTTTTTTTTTTTTTTTTGTGTCTGTTATCACGGTTTGGGG